AACCCCATGGCTCAGGAAAACGCTGCTTTCCTCCCTCTGCCTACCTCTACCAACTGGAAATCAGCTTTTCCAGTTCCAAGTTTTTCTCTGCCTCCAGGACTTTTTCACTGGGGTACCCAGGGCGTTTTAATCTCAGTCCGTTTCTGCTCCTTTTAGGCTGGTCCCCAGGTCTAGGCTATAGGCCCAAGAAGAGCATCAGGACTGGTTAGCCTGCACCATTACCCACCCCATCTCCCCCAGGGCTCCTTCCTGCTTTTCCTGCATCCCTCCGGTTTTCCCATACTTTTAATCCCTTGCCTCTAGATCCCCACTAGGCGCTCCCCATTGAGTTGTAGGGAGCCAAGTCTATTTCTTGTGCCTCCTTGCATGGAGGCGGGTATGAGTACTAGAGACTCCTGGCGGTGTCCCTTTCCTGGACTCCCATGTATGGAAATATAGCTGACCTATTGCCCCTCTTTCCCACTAGCAGCCCCAATCTCCAACATAGGTATTGGGGGGCAGGCAGTGGCATAGGCCGTCAGGTTTTCAGTACGGCTGTGGCTGTTCTCTGTACCACTACTGCTCTTTAACCTCACCCCTCCCTGTCTTCCACTAGAAGTGGGGGAAGGATGCTGGGGCTAAATGTCTCATTCACTAATCTTGGAGAAAAGTGTTTTGTTTTTAGGGGCCTTTTTGAAGAAAAGAAAAGGGAAGCAGGAAAAAGCAGGTCTTATGCCTGCCTCAGGAAGGGGCCAATTCAATGAAAGAGGAGTTGGCATTCTAACTGGGCAGCAGTTTCCAGGAAGACCTGTAGCTTCAGGGCTGCCCCCTCCCATCCCCCGCCCTGCATCTCTCCTGGAGCTGGGAAGGGTGCCCACCAGGGACAAAAGGAGATGTGGGAACTAGGCCCCTAACCCTGTTAGCTGTCAAAGAGATTGGTGCCACTTTAATGCCCAGGACCCAGGCCAAGGCAGCAGCTCCTGGCCCTGTGTTGGAAAGGGCACTGGCTTGTTTGGTCAGGAGAGGAAGCAGAGGAGTTAGTAGTTGGGCTCTCATACCTTGTCTCCATTCTAGACAGCTGTCACCATGCCCCCCTCGTACCCAGCCCTTTCTGCTGAGCAGAAAAAGGAGTTGTCTGATATTGCCCTACAGATCGTGGCCCCGGGCAAAGGCATTCTGGCCGCAGATGAGTCTGTAGGTAAGTGGGAGCCAGTGGTCACGGTTGAGGAGAGGTTGCCAGGGAGCTCCAGCCAAACAACCAGGCTGTCTTCCCTTCGCTTGCTTCTAGGCAGCATGGCCAAACGGCTAAGCCAAATTGGGGTAGAGAACACTGAGGAGAATCGCCGGCTGTACCGCCAGGTCCTGTTCAGTGCCGATGATCGTGTGAAAAAGTGCATTGGTGGTGTCATCTTCTTCCATGAGACACTCTACCAGAAAGATGATAATGGTGTCCCCTTTGTCCGGACCATCCAGGATAAGGGCATTCTCGTGGGCATCAAGGTATACGGCCCCTGGCCCTGCCTGGGTCTAGGTGTGGAAATTGGTATATGTGGGAGGGTGGCAGGCCAGCCCTCTCTTTGTGTTTTCCTTGCAGGTTGACAAGGGTGTAGTGCCTCTAGCTGGGACTGATGGGGAAACCACCACTCAAGGTACGTGGTGGATGGGTTTGAAGTCTGCAGAGGTTTGACATGGTTGATGCTGGCAACATAGGGCAGGGTGGTGAGGCTGGTACTGTGTTTTCAGGGCTGGATGGACTCTTGGAACGCTGTGCTCAGTATAAGAGGGATGGTGCTGACTTTGCCAAATGGCGCTGTGTACTGAAAATCAGTGATCGCACACCCTCGGCGCTGGCCATTCTGGAGAATGCAAATGTGCTGGCGCGCTATGCCAGCATCTGCCAGCAGGTCTGTGCCGGGGTTTGGGTGGTTGGGTGAGTGCTCTGTGCCTGGTGGAGGTATGCTTTCATAGCTTTCTCCCTTCCCAGCTTCTGCTTCTCCCAATTAATCCTGCTCTTGCTTGCAGAATGGTATCGTGCCTATTGTGGAGCCTGAGATCCTGCCTGATGGAGACCATGACCTCAAACGTTGCCAGTATGTTACAGAGAAGGTAAGGCCACAGATGAGCTCAAACACATCAGGGGCAGCCTAGCAGGGGTACCCCATTCCTGCACTTTAGATCCAGGCATACTGTCACTTAAGGATCTTTGCTGACTCCAAAACAGGCTTTGGAGGATGAGCCTATATGGAACCCTCACATTCCTATCCCCACCCCAACCCCTGGATGGGCAGCATTCCACATCCAGGGTCCCAGCCACATAAACCTCTGTTCACCCAGGTCCTGGCTGCTGTGTACAAGGCCCTGAGTGATCATCATGTGTACCTGGAGGGGACTCTGCTCAAGCCCAACATGGTGACGCCTGGCCATGCCTGTCCCATCAAATATAGTCCAGAAGAGATTGCCATGGCAACTGTCACTGCCCTGCGTCGTACTGTGCCCCCAGCTGTCCCAGGTACTAAATTGCTCCTATCCCTTCAGGCCTGACTTGAGGTTTTTCTGTGGCACAGGGATCCTTTACCCTAGAAAAAACAGGGAATGACCAGTCGGTTTGTCTTCTCCCTGCACTCCAGGGGTGACTTTCTTGTCTGGGGGTCAGAGCGAAGAGGAGGCATCACTCAACCTCAATGCCATCAACCGCTGCCCACTTCCCCGGCCCTGGGCCCTCACCTTCTCCTATGGGCGTGCCCTGCAGGCATCTGCACTCAATGCCTGGAGAGGACAAAGGGACAATGCTGGGGCTGCTACTGAGGAGTTTATCAAGCGGGCAGAGGTAGGGAGCCAGAGGTGATGACCGGGGAGGGACTGCATGTACCAATCGGAGGTCCCAGACTGGACAGGCTTCCACACCTCTGGGCTGCCTCGGCCTGCTTGCTCACTTACCCCCTTTCCCTTTTGCAGATGAATGGGCTTGCAGCGCAGGGCAGATATGAAGGCAGTGGAGATGGTGGAGCAGCAGCACAGTCCCTCTACGTCGCCAACCATGCTTACTGAGGCATGCTTACACGACCCACAGCCCTCGGCCTAGCAGTGTAGACCCCGTTTTTGCCTGTAGTCACTCACAGCCAGGGCCACATAGCCATGCGGAACAGAGATGTCATCATGCAGCATCAAGTCATCCTTTTTGCCTCTCCTCCTCTTTCTGTCTCACATTGCTGCACCCGAGACCACAGGATGGGAGGGTTAAGGGAGCCTCCCCCGCCCCATGTCTGAGGGCAGGAGAACTTTCTAGAAGTCAGACCAGAACATGTGGGTCTTTTTCCCAGCTCTGCCAGCCCTTACAGTTTCCCCATGATGTTGTCGCTTGTCCTCGGGCCTTACTTGCTGCCCATCTCTCTTAGGATCATGGGCAAGTACACTGGCCCTGACTTATGCTCTAAATACATCGCAAATAAATGGGAGCAAAATACACTACTGTCTTGTCTGTCTGCTGCACACATTCACAGTCCTACCTTCCTTTGTGTGATCTCTTGCTGATCTTATCACAGAGCCCTCTGACTATGGTGGTGGGAAGGTGAGAGCTGAGTTTTACTGGGCTTCAAGTTTGTGAAGGAAGGGTTCACCTGGCTCACTATCCCCAGCTCAGGCTCCCACCTGTTGATCCCCAAAGCTGGAGTTGTACAAGGGTATAAGGAGTTGTAAGAGGGTTCCAGGGACTGACACATCAAAGGAGCCTGGAGTGCAACTCCAGCACGATGAGCAACTTCTCAAGGCCCAAAGCAAGGAGTCAACAGGACAAGCAGGGATCCTTGTGGGCTAGTTCTGTCCCACCTCAGTACTGTTGATCCCTTCAGGGGGCTGACACATTCAGGGAACAATGTGCACTTAGGCCCTTTCCAGTAAGGAAACCTTCTAAGACTCTGGACCACCAGAGCTAAGTACAGTGTCAGGGAGCTTGCCAAGGGCTATGCCCGACTTCCATGCAGAGAAGGGATCCATTTGTGGGTGTGGACGGAGTTAGAGCTGATAGGGCTTTGTGCTGAATGATGACCACTGGGCTAGGGTGTAGGGTGACACTGAACTGTTGTGAACTAATCATTAATGCTCTGCTCCGTGTGGCCTGACGCTATAACGAGCGGCAAACTCAGCAGTTTCTATGTGCTTCTGCCAGGCAGTGTTCTAACCACTATCACAGGCACTAGCACAGCTCTGTAAAGTAGGTACTGTTGTCCTTTTCATAGGGGGAAACGGGCTCGGAGAGAGGCTGGGAGGCTGTTCAGGCAATAAGTGAAACCAGGATTTGAAACGGAGTCATTACGATACATACAGTCTGTGCTCAGGAATTTTCAATTAAACATCATGACTCGTTCAAATTGGAACCGGCTTTTCAGTCCCAGAAGCTGGCCATGGTGACCTGTCCTATAGTCTCGGCTACTTAGGAGGCTGAGACATTGGGGGCAGGATCACTCTAACCCCCTGGGTCATATAGGGAGATGCCTCAAAACTAACCAAAATAAAATTAATCCCAGAGTGAGTAGCCAATCATGCTAAAAAGTTACCGTTTTGTCAGTCTGTCTTCAAGCTTTGAAGAGCCGGTGTCCTGAAGAGAAGCCCTATGCTAAGGATGACATTAGAAGGCTTTTCGGGAGTCAGGCTCTTGGCTTCTTTGAAGTAAATCTTCCCCTTCCGCTGGGCGTGGTGGTGCATTCCTGTAATCCCCTGCACTGGAGAAGCTGAGGCAGGGGGCTGCCCCAGAGTCTGAGGGCCAGTCTGGGCTACATAGCGAGTCTCGCCTTCTCTCTGAGCTAGCCCTCAGGAGCTAAGCAGTGGCAGGGGCGCTCAAGGGAAGGCAAGGCTCAGATTGACCTTCTTGCCCGGCGGACACCCGCTCATAAACTCCGCCTGCGCGCTCGCGTGCATCGGCAGACTCGCTCGCGATTGGCAGGGGACGCGCGCCGTAGTCCCGCCCCTTCACGCTGGGGCTTCCGATTGGAGGAGGCTCACGGAGCCCCGCCCCTCAGCGGCCCGAACAACCGGAAGGGACCATGGCGGCCGCGGGTGCCGCGGCTACTGACCTAGGTGCGGTGGGTTTCGGGTGGAGGATGCGGTGGGGAGGTCTCCCGGGCAGAATGTGTGGGTGGGGTGCGAGAAGCATGCCAGGTCCCTTCAGCCTGCGGTCAGGGGCACGCCCCGAGGGAGCGGCTCGGACAGCGCTCCCGGCCGCCCGCGCTCCTCCGTGATCGCGGCGTGGCGAGCGTGCATCGCACCGTGGTTCCCGCGCCTTAGTCGGCCCTCTGTGCCCTCAGAGGTGGTCCGGGGCAAACGTGCCGCGCTGTTCTTCGCCGCGGTGGCCATCCTTCTGGGACTGCCGCTCTGGTGGAAAACCACGGAGACCTACCGTGCCCCGTTGCCTTACTCAGAGATCAGTGGGCTGAACGCCCTGCAGGTGAGACTTGGGCGGGGAGAACCGGGCCGGGGTTGTTTGGGGGAACAGCCCACCCGCAAAGTGCGGACGCTGCTAAAGGTCCCCATTCCCCCTCACCCCCTGCGCAGCTCCGGCTCATGGTGCCAGTGACAGTTGTGTTTACTCGGGACTCTGTGCCCCTGGACGACCAGGAGAAACTACCCTTCACCGTTGTGCATGAGAGAGAGATCCCTCTGAAATGTGAGTCCCTTGAGAGGGTGTCAGCACTGCTTTTTCCATCAGAGCCAGATCCAAAACCCAGAGTTGGATTGCATAGGAGGAGCGTGGGCGGCTCATAACTTACTTTAAAATGTTTTGTTACATTTATGTAGCGTGCATGCATGCATGTACGTGTGCTGAGGGGCATCGTGTGGAGGTCATTTTTCCTTCCACTACGTGGGCCCTGGTCTTGGGAATCCAACTCAGGGCAGCAGACTTGGCAGCAAGTGCCTTTACTCATGGAACCCTCCCCCCTTACCCCCACCCCCAAGAAAAAAAAGATCTCTTTTGGAATGAACAGTGTTTATTTAGAGAGGGGGAGCTAGCCTCAAGTTCAGTGTCTGTCATTATGATGGTAATTTAATTCATAAGGTAAATTATACTACCTTATCAGTAGCAGTAATTGATACCCATCAGTGTATAGCGAAAGCTGGATAGGAGTTTGAAGTTATACCAGATGTGTGTGTATTCAGACCCCTGTCATTTTAACATCACACACTTTATTGTTGGGCACTTTGTTAGGTACCAAGAACTTGAGGGTGAATAATAAATTGGTAATGTTTTTAACTTAATGTTTTAATGCTATGGTCACATCAGGGAGAAAGAAACAGGCAAATACTGTAAGCCTGCAGGTTTGGTTTAGTGATAGAGTGACAGGAGAGCCTGGATTCTATCCTTACCTGCTGGAGAGGAAAGGTGAAGAAGGGCTTGAGGGATGTGATTTTTAAAGTTGGATTTTTAAATTTTATTTATTTATTTTTGATGTTTCCAGATCGAGGTTTTTGTTTGTTTGTTTGTTTTGTGTGTAGTCTTGGCTATCCTGGAACTTGCTCTGTAGACCAAGCTGACTGGTGGTGGCTGGTGGCACACACTCTGGCTGTCCTGAAACTGTCTGCCATCATGCCTGGCAAGGACTCTGATCTTTATTCTATAATCTCATGTTCAGTTCTGTTTTTTCATCAGTCAGTATTCTTTTTGATACTAGAATATGATCTTCGGTTCTAGAATTAAAGTAACAATTTGAGAGTCATCAAGAACCTTTCGGGCTGAAGAGATGGCTCAGAGGTTAAGAGCACTGTCTGTTCTTCCAAAGGTCTTGAGTTCAATTCCCAGCAACCACATGGTGGCTCACAACCATCTATAATGAGATCTGATGCTCTCTTCTGATGGGCAGGCATACATGCAGATAGAACATTGTATACATAATAAAGAAATAAATCTTAAAAAAAAAAAAAAAGAACCTTTCATAATTCCTTCACGTGCTTCTCAGCTTGCTGCTGACAGGACTCACCTTCCCCTGAGCTCCTTACCTCATGTTCAGTACTGTCACTTTCTGTCTTTACTTTAGCCATCTGTGTAGTGGGGTGTGTGGTACATTCCTTCAGTCCCAGATCCCAGACAAGAGGCAGGTAGATCTCTGAGTTCCAGGCCAGCCTGTCTGCATCGCAAGTTCCAGGCTAGCCAGGACTCATAGTGAAACCCTGTCTCAACATGAAATAAAATGAAGTGAAGTATTAAAAACATCCCAGGTTTCACTAAAATAGTCCTGTCCACATTTCTATATCAAATAATTTTATTTCTTTCTTCTAGCTCACTTTTTGTTTTTTTACACAGTATCTCCCTGTGTATCTCTAGTGGCTGCAGACTTGTGTCCGTTCTCCTGCCTCAGCCTCTTGAATGCAGGGATTACAGATACGTGCTGCTGTGGCTGGGTTTAGATCCCAGCTCATAGTGAGTAACCTCAGAAACCATTACTTGCTGCAGCGGTGGGTTCTTGAATTATTTTGTGTGTGGTCATGTTGCTGAACTGTTTCTAGCTCTTAACAGTTTTTCAGTTGGTTCTCCTTAAAAAAAAGTTTTAGATTTTAATTTAATTTTATGTGTATGTATGTTTGCCTGGCTGTATATCTGTGTACCATGTGCATGTGGAGGCCAGAAGAGGGAATCAGATTATTTAGGACTGGAATATATGATATGTGGGTGCTGGGAACTGAACCCTGGTCCTCTAGAAGCAGCCAGTGCTCTTTACTGCTGAGCCATCTCTCCAGCCCCTGTTTCATTTTATGTGTGTGTGAGAAATAACTATAGTACTTCAGAAATAGCTGTTTTGTTTCTCTGTGTGTGTGTGTGTGTGTAATCATGGACGCACTCTCATGTACATACAAATATGGAAACCCAGGACCAATATCTGGTGTCTTCCTCTGTTGCTTTCCACCTTAGTTTCTGAGGGAGGGTTGCTCACTAACCTTGAATTATCTTAGAATCCCTAAATCTCCAGGCATCACTTAGCAGCCTTGTCCACATTTTCATATCTAATGCTTTTACCAAAGCTATTTATAATTTTGCTTCTCTCTTCTAGTTCACTTTATTTTTGTTTGTTCATTTCTTGAGGTAGTAACTCTCTGTGTAGCCCAAGATTAGCCTGATTGGCTGCCTAGGGAATGCCCTGTCTCTGCTCTCCAGCACTGTAACCATCCGTTACAGATGTGTGCGTCATACCAGCTCTTATGTTTATGTTGGGTAGCACACTCTTTATCCACTGAATCATCTCTGCAGCTCACTTCCAAAGTTTTTAGGTTTCGTTTTCCTTTCTCATTACAGTGGTCAGGACCTTCACAGAGGACAGTGCTGAGCAGCCCTCAACGACAGGAGACAGCAGGCGTCCTTGTTTTATTACTAACCTAGCCAATTGTACTTGCTGCTTTGGTTTTCATTAGTGTTCATCGACTAGTTGCTTGGGAGCAGTAGTTGGAATGACCATATGGTTTTTCTCCTCTCCCCAATCAATATACTGTACACTGAAATAAACTCCTCCAGTTTGGGGATCTGGCTAGAGGACCAGTGAGCTCACAGGCAAAGGCAGGAGTTGGGGCAAAAGGGCGAAGTAAATGTCATGTGTCTCCTGTCATCTTTGCAGAAATGATTGGAGTGCCTGTCGCTGGTACATGCTCTCTCTCTCTCTGAAGAGCCATCCTGCTGTCCTCAGTTCTGGAGTTGCTCAGCTGGGCAGGTTGGTTAGGTTTAATGGCACTCATGATGTTCTTCCTTCCAGACAAAATGAAAATCAAATGCCGATTCCAGAAGGCCTACCGGAGAGCTTTGGACCATGAGGAGGAGGCACTGTCACTGGGCAGTGTGCATGGTATGGCAGTTTTGATGAGATGCCTTGTTTTCCTTCTGGTCTCCTGTGCTGGCTAATTTTAGATCAACTTGACACAGCTAGAGTTATATGAAAGGAGGGAACCTCAATTGAGAAAATGCATCCATAACATCCAGCTGTGGGGCATTTTCCTAATTAGTGATTGATGGGAGAGGGCCTAGCCCATTGAGGGTGATGCCATCCCTGGGCTGGTGGTCCTAGGTTTCTATAAAAAAGCAGGCTGAGCAAGCCATGGAGAGTAAGTCAGTAAGTAGCACCCCTCCTTGGCCTCTGCATCAGTTCCTGCCTCTAGTTCCTGCCCTGACCTCCCTCAGTGATGAACTTGGAAGTGTAAGCTTAAATGAGTCCTCCCCACGTTGTTTTGCTTATAGCGTGTCATCATAGCAGTAGTAGCCCTAAGTAGGATATCTCCTAAGTGTGATTCACATGCTGTGTCTGAGAAAGCAGGGAATGAGATGCCTTGGGGTTCAGCTGAGTCCTCTTATGGTTAGACAGGTGGACTGGCTGGCTGAAATGCCTGGCTACGGCATTTACTGAGTATGAGTGGAGGATTGGCTCAAGTGCCCTGGGCACCTGGGAAAGCTGGAATAATGTTGCTTTTGGTATATCACTACTGTGTCCCCAGAGGCAGAAGCCATGTTAGCTGAGCCGGAGAAGCAAGCTGTGGGCTCCCTGACTGTGTACGTCATCTCTGAACACTCCCCTCTTCTTCCCCAGGTAAGCTGAGTAGAGCTGCTGGCAACTTGCCTTTTCTGTCAGCTCATCCTCTCCCAGGCCACCTTCTTGTAGGAGTGCTGCCTATAACTCCCACATGCTACAGAAAATTTCATATTTTACAATAAACCTACCAGTGGATTTTATTCACTTACAGTGATTTGGGTCTTTCTAAACCCGTGACTAGTATGAGGTTAAAGTGCTAATGATAATTAGTTTTTTAAGAGACAGAGGCTCATGTAACCAGGGTTAGCCTCAGTTTGTAGCTAAGGATGGCCTTGAATTTCTCATTCTCCTCTCTCCAAGTACCTGACAAGTGCTGGAATTACAGGCATGCACCATTGTGCCTGTTTTATGCAGAGCCAAGGCTTGAACCCCAGCCTTTCTGCAAGCACTCTACCACCTGAGTGAGGTCTTTAGTCCAAAGCCCCCTTTTCCCAATTTTTTTTTTTTTTTTTGAGACAGGGTGTCTATGAAATAGCTCTGGCTATCCTTGAACTTGCTTTGTAGACCAGGCTGTCCTGAGCTTACAGAGTTAGTTCTACCTGCCTCTGCCTCCCACATTCTAGGATTAAAGATGTGCACCACCATCCCTAGCCACTTTTACATATTTTAAAACATAGATGTATGATACCATGCTTTCTTCTGCCACTTTGGTTTTGTTGAGTGTTTTAAAGAGCCGTTGGTGATGACATGCGTAGTTGAACCATCTCTGTTGCTTCACTGGCTAAGTCTGCTGTCTGTCTGGTCGCTGGTGACGCCTGGATTGCTTCCAGCTCTTCTCCCTTAGGTGTGATGCTGAGTGCACACTTGCTTCCGGCTGGGTGCCTTTTTCGGAGAGCACACTTTTCATTTGTTTGTTGAATCCTCTTTTTGTGCTCAGCATGTCATTTCTTGGTGTCCAGTCCACCGTTTTGCCAGTTCCTAAAGATTTAAGTAGACCTCTGTCTACTGGGAAGGAGAAAGGAATGGAAACACGTGAGAATACTTATGCAAGCTTAATGCTCAGAAATGCTAGATTAGTGAAGAAAACTCCATGAAAAAAACAAAACAAAACAAAACCAGGCATTTGGCACATGCCTATTAACTGGCGAGGGGGAGGCAGGAAGATCAGGAGTTCAAGTTCATCTTCAGCTGCATAGCTCAAGGCCAACCTGGGTTACATGAGACCTTTTCTCAAAAAACAAAAACAAAAAACTAATGAAAAAGGAGCTGGAGAAATGACTCAGTGCAGTGTTAAGAGCACTTGCTAATCTTGCAGAGGACCTGGGTGCAGGTCCCAGCACCCATGTGGTGGCTCACAGTAGTTTCTAACTCCAATTCCAGGGAATCCAGTGCCCTCTTCAGGCCTCCCTAAGCACCCAGCATCCTCATGGTGCACATATGTATACATATGCAAACACTCATACATACAAAAATAAAAAAAAATAAGCCTTTATTTGTTTCTTTTTTTTTTTAAAGGATCTATCTATCTATCTATCTGTCTGTCTATCATCTATCTATCTATCTATCTATCTATCTATCTATCTATCTATCTATCT